TATATTTCTTTATTTCAAAAGTACCATGTCATTAACCCACATAATTATTAAAGGCCATTTTTTATTCATGAAATTTATCACGTCACCACCAAAGTGACATTTTATCAAGCTATGTTATTATTAATGTTAAGTAATCGTTAATTAATAGTCAACTAATAATTAGTTGAAAGATGAGACTAAAATTATATAATTTTAAAAATTTAGAGGCTAAAATTATATAATTAGAAATATATAGATCAAAATTACAATTTAGAGATTATTTGGATGGCTAAAAGTGTAATTTGACTTAATTAGTTATTTATGTTTTCCTTTTTAACATTCACAAATCACGAAAAAAAATTCTTAATACTAATATTTGTATTCTTATGTAAAGAAAACATTTAAATAGTCTTTAAGTCATTCAAATCATCACGATTACTCATAAGATTAGTTTTTAATTATCAATTTTAAAAATAAAAAAAGTTGATAAAAAATCTATAATATTAAACTTCCAAAAGCACAATTTAATTTAGTGTTCCGTTTATAACAAAAGCACAATACAATTAAGGTTAAATTTCATTTTTATTCTCCTATAATTATGAGTCCGTGATTTTGGTTTTTTTTTTTTTTTTTAATTAAGCAATTTTAATTTATCCATTTTTAAAATTACATAATTTTTGGCCCCTTTATCAATTAAAAGAATATTAATAATGATATAAACTTATAGTGTGTTACTTTGGTGATAATGTGAGGACTCAATGAATTGATGAAGTGACACTATAGTGATGATGTTAGCGAATGATATGACATTAACATGTTAAATATGTAAAATTTATTTAAAAATGACATTAGGAGGACTAGAACTCATTACCTTAACTAGTTAACTATAAAATTCACTATTTACACCACTAAATTATTTGAATTTTATAATTTTTATTTAAATAATATATTATATATTACATTACTACACAAGTTTATTATTTTTTAAAATTTGTTATCTAATGTCAATCTAGTTTAAGATTAATAAATAATAAATTTATTTAATAAAAATAATAATTTTTAAGTAAATTAATTGTATAGATTTTTATTTAATATATATTTTACACATTAAATATATACATTCTGTAAAAACATATTAAATAATAAAAATTATATTTATTAGATAAAATGTACAGTAAGAACAAAAAATTGAAAGAATATATGTATTCGTTATTTAGTATATTTTTGTACAATAAATATAAACATATAATTATTTTGTCTTTTATTTCTCTTTAACTATATTTTATATTTTTAATGCACCAATAATATTGTAATATCTATTTTAATATTGTAAAGTTCATATTATTTATAAAAACTATTTTATATAATATACATTATAATATTATATTATTACTGTATTTTTTCATCTAAAAAAATTAAATTTCATTATTTAATATTTTTTATCTGATAAATATAATTATACGATATAAAATAATAATATATGAAACAATATATATACTAATATTTTATTTGTTATTTTTGTTACAGTATTTTTTATATTATATAAAAAAATATATGAAATAATCTTACTAAAAGGTATTTTTTTATTAAATAAAATTATTATTTATTAATCTTAAACCAAATTAACATTAGATAAGCTCATGAGTTCCTATGTTATATATAGTACATTGGTAAAATTATAATCGAAAATTTAAGCAATTTTGTGATTTAAATAGCATTTTTATAGTTAAGGTCACGAGTTTTAATTTTTATAAGATTATTTTTTTTAAATAAGTTTTTAATATTTTTGTCATACCAATGACTCATTGTTGGTGTGCATTATCACTATAATATCATCTCATTGACATGTTAGTTGTCACATTACCAACAAAGTAACATGTCACTGGTCCATGTTAATATTATTGGTAAGTTACGGTTTAATTGACTTGGGATTAAAATTGCATAACTTTAAAAAGTGTAAGAACAAAATTGTGAATTGATAATTATAAAGAGAACAAAAATACAATTAAACTTACAATTTATTAGTCAAAATTTGAAGAGCAGTTAGCAGGATGTGTTGGATTAAAATTTTAAAAAAATTATTTTGATATCAAAATGTGAATTTTAAAATATTATATATCGGCTGAAGGGACCAAAAATATTATATAAAATTGTAATAATTTATAATTTTTTAGCACTTATTTATTTCTAAAAAAATTATAATCGAGTGTAATTAAAATAATAATATATGTATGTAAGATTTGAAAATAGTATATAAAATGTGTAGATTAAAAAGGTATTTGAATGTTTTTTCATTAAAAGTATTATAATTAAAAGTTTATTGTTAAGATTTGTAAGAGAAAAAAAAAACCAATTAAATAAAAACAAATTGTACCCACTTTCATCTGTTTAAAAGAAATACACTTTCTCTCTAATTTTTAAAAACCACTCATCTTTCTCAAAAGTAATGTCGCTAGTTAAAGTATGAGAGAGAAAAAAAATATAATTCATATTTTATTAATTATATACATGTTTATTCTTTATTTATGAGTTACATATAATATTTTATCTTTTTTATGAAGATTTTAATTATTTTTCAATTTTCAAAATAATAATTTGTTAGTTTATTTTTTGAAATTATTCCTTAAAATTGATGTATTTTTTTAAATCACAATACACATAATATTTAAAATATATTTTAGGAATTTAATTAAATTTAGTAAAGAATCAAGTTTCATTCAATTATTAATACTTATATTAATAATGTATTTTTTCTTAATAGTGTACAAATAGAATTACCTTGTATAAAAAATTGTGCATGTCACTTATATAAATAAATAAAGGATGTTAGTGTTCATTTAAAAATTAAATGAGAGATGTGTATCTTTAAAACAATGATAGGACAAATTAGTACAATTTTTTCGTTAATTAAATATGATTTGTAAATTTTAAAATCTCAATGTTTTTAATAAAATTGTTGGAAGTTCAATGAAGGTAATATGTATATTTTTAAATAAAGGATAAAAATCTCAATTTGATTCCTCTAAATTTTAAGATTTGATTCTAAACAATGGATGTAAATTTTAAAATAATTTTTGTTATTATTAATGGCGTGACATTTCTTATTCATTTGTACTGCATTAGTACTACTTTTTAAGAATGATCATTTCCTAACATGACATGATTAGATATATATTACATATTAAACATGATAGAAACTATTAAAAATTTAGGACGACTGAAACAAAGGAAAGAAAAACACAGATAAAATTATATTTGTATGAATTAAAATATATTTTATTCCATTAAAAATTTAAACTCTCATTTCTAAAGGTGACCATATTTTTTATTTGTTTTTTTTTATTAATCTTGTTTAATATCTTTGCACGTAATTTAATAAATTTTTTTATCTTGATGAGTTAACATAATAGTTAAATACCATTTACTCAAATAGAACGATTAAATTGGTGAATGACTTTATGTTCAATCAGTGACGGTTATAATATCACAAATAAAATTAGTTTCTAAATAAAATAGAAATAATCTTAATAAGGTCAGAAAAATTATACTCTTTCAAAATTTTCAACTCATTAAATGTTTTCGGATTTTCCTTTCACTATTTTTTTTTCATATTAAAATTTCCTTTTTATATTAATATTTCAAATTCCCAAGTCTTAGTTTGAATTACTTTTAATTTTTCTTAAGTTTTTATTTTTCTTTAATCTCAAACTTTGACTATTTATACGTTGAAAATAGTTATTTTCATTTTTTAACGAAATATGTTTTACCTCTTAAATTAAGCTGCTTATATTTTTCTATTGAAATTAAAAAAATAATATTCAGTCAATAAATAAGTTTTTAATTTGTTATTTTATTTATTTATAAATATAATTATCTTCATATATTTCATACAGAGTAAACTTCCTATAAAAATAACTGTGTCTCATGTCTTTGATCCTGAGTTTAAATTTTTCAATCCGATGGATTGCCACAGCAATTTAATATCAGCCTCTAATTTGGAGAAAGAGCAAAAAAAAAAATATTGAATTTAAAAATATTTCTTTGGCCAAATTATTGATCAGAAGATTTAGCTTGTATAAATTGTTATTGGTTTAATACCCATACAAATTCAATGATATATCCGTTAGATAAAAAATATATAAAAAAAAATTAAATCCTCTTTTATTTATTTTTTATTTTAGAAGTATCCAATTTTTGGTGGTGAATCGATAAAAATAAGTATCTTTTATATCTATTAATTAATATTGGATTTTAAAAATTTATAAGAATTAATTAGATTGTAAAAAATATAAAATAATTCTAAATTCAAATTTATATAAAAAAAATGAAAAAATGAGTGTCTATTATTATTACGGATCAATAAAAATATATATAAAGCGAGGAGGGTAAAATCTTTCATTTTTTATGATAAAAAATTCATTTATACTTGTTATTTAATAAAAAAAAAACTCAGGATCGGTTAAATTTCAAGTATTCCATCTTACCAATAGAATAGGAAGACTTACTTTATATTTTGAATTGAAGACTATTTGTTTCAAAGGAGTTTATGTAAAATTCTGGAAACGATTACTATCTTATTGTCAAAGAAAGATAGAATATTTTATAAAATAGTTGTAGAGGATAAAAAAAATATTCTTTCAACATTTTCAACTCATTAAATGTTTTTAGATTTTCCATTTACTACAATAATTTTTCATATTAATATTTCAAATTCTCAAGTCTTAGCTTGACTTACTTTTAGTTTTTCTATATTAATTTTTTTTTATCCCAACTTTGACCATTTATACGTTAAAAATAGTTTTTTTTTCTCAACATTTTAACAAAATACGTTTTACCTCCTAAGTTAAGCTATTTATATTTTTCTATTGAAATTAAAAAATAATATTCGGTCAATACACAGATTATGATTTATTTATTTTATTTATTTATAGATATAGATATAACTGTCCTCATCTATTCCATATAGAGTGAAAAAAACTTTCTACAATAAAAAAGTCAAACAGAGAATAATGAAAATTGTGAAATGGTTAAATGTTGTTCCATCTATGCATGTAGCATTGATAGTCCTCTATATATACTTGCCCATGTTGTGCAAGAGTAGAAAACTAAAACTTCACTGTGCCATGTCTAAGACCATGAAGTTGTTTCCACTACTCAGAAATTCCTATGTAATTTCATTTTCGTATCTTGAGATTTTCTTATATGAACACATATTTTGTCATGAATAACCACCAAATATAGTTTCTCTGATGCGTTTATACACATATCCATTTGGATTTTGCTAAATTATTTTTCATAAGGGCTCTGATTGGTTTTTTGTTTTATTTTGTGCAGGTCATTGGTGTGATATCCTTAGTTCTAACATTGGGATCACTAAATGTGAAGGTAGCAGAATGCAGGGTCGCAAGTGGACCGGGAAACATAGAATACCCTGCCATCAATTGCCGAAAGCATAGTGCAGTTTTGACAGATTTTGGTGGGGTTGGTGATGGCAAAACATCCAACACTAAGGCCTTTCAATCTGCAATAAGCAAACTCAGCCAATATGCATCTGATGGGGGTTCACAACTTGTGGTGCCCCCAGGAAAATGGCTAACAGGACCCTTTAACCTCACTAGCCATTTCACTCTTTTTCTCCATAAGGATGCTGTTCTTCTTGCATCTCAGGTATATAGCCTATATGCACTACTTATATATGTTTTGTTTATTCTGTTGTTTCTCCTATTATCCACCCAAGCGTCTCTTATAATTATTACATGACCACATTGATAGGTTGAATCTGAATGGCCACAACTTCCTGTACTACCTTCTTATGGAAGAGGAAGAGATGCTCCTGGTGGAAGGTTTAGCAGTCTAATTTTTGGAACTAACCTCACAGATGTTGTAATTACAGGTAACGTTTTAGCACAAGCAATAGACCTCTTTACTTGTTAATGTTCATTTTAATGTTGTTGAGTCAATTTTAGTTTGACTTTTTTGAATCTGATCATTAGGTCAAAATGGTACAATTGACGGGCAAGGATCTTATTGGTGGGACAAATTCCACAAGAATCAATTGACACTCACCAGGCCATACATGATTGAGATCATGTACTCTGATCAAATCCAAATATCTAATCTCACATTGGTCAATTCTCCATCCTGGTTTGTCCATCCAATTTATAGCAGGTTAGATAAGGCTTCTTTGTTCCAATTTCTTAACCATGGTGCATTCCTTTTTTCATCATGTATAAAGTGTGTCTCACTATTCTGATCACAAGCTTTATTCTCCAGTAACATAATAATTCAAGGGCTTACCATTCTGGCACCAGTGGACTCTCCTAACACAGATGGCATAGACCCAGGTAAAGACTTTATTTTTCTATTATATACTTATTTCCATGGACTTTTGATGGCAAACTGCCAAACTAGAAGGATGAATGATATATATATATATATATATATATATATATGTAACAGAATTTGTAAGCTTTCTCCCGTATATTTTTATACTTTGCAATTTAATTGGTGAAAATAGTGGCATTCATATTAAAAGAATCTACCACTAAGACTGATTATATATATATTTGTTGACAACCAGTGTCTAATTGTTGTATACTTTTTTCCTCTTCACAGATTCATGTACAAACACTAGGATTGAGGACTGCTTTATTGTCTCCGGTGATGATTGTATTTCAGCAAAAAGTGGGTGGGATGAGTATGGAATTAAATTTGGAAGGCCAACCCAACACCTAATCATTAGAAGGATTACTTGCATATCCCCTGATAGTGCCATGGTTGCTTTAGGAAGTGAAATGTCTGGTGGAATTGAAGATGTAAGAGCTGAAGATCTCACTGCTATCAACACTGAATCAGCAATTAGAATCAAAACAGCTGTTGGAAGAGGGGCATATGTGAAAAACGTATTTGTGAAAGGAATGAACCTCAACACCATGAAATATGTATTTTGGATGACTGGCTCTTATGGACAACACCCTGACAATAAGTTTGATCCCAAAGCACTTCCTAACATCACTGGAATAAATTATAGAGACGTTATTGCAAAGAACGTCACATATTCCGCAAAACTTGAAGGGATTTCCAATGACCCTTTCACAGGAATCTGCGTTTCTAATGTGACTATCCAAGTGAGTGAACAGAAAAAGAAGCTTCAATGGAATTGCACTAATGTTGCTGGAGTTGCAAGCAATGTCACTCCTGTCTCTTGTCCATTGCTGCCAGAGAAAGGGAAATTTGATTGTCCTTTTCCAAATGACAAATTGCCCATTGAAAATGTTCAGTTGAAGACATGTTCCTCTGTGTAAATGTCTTCTAATACCATGGCTACATTTGAATCTTGAACACTGTTTATGTCAGAAATTATAATTAGAAAATAAAGTGTTAGAGATGAAGGGTATGCATTGAGGGGCCATTTTTCTTGTTTAAAGGATATTATTCCTTCGAATGAAATCAATAAGTATTTAATTGAGAGGTTATTTAATGGATATATATGCGTTATAAGCAAACCCATAAAGAAAATAAAGAAAAAAAAAAGAAAAATGAAGGAGAAGAGGTTAACTAATTTGAGTGATTTTGTAGTTTTTTTTTTTTTAATTGAAGTGAGAGAGATAGGGTTAGTAAAAGGTAAAATCTTCTTCAGCATAAAGTTGCAAAGAAGTAACTAATGTTACTGGCAAAAACTATTTTCATCCATGCTTTTGTTTTAAGAAAATGAAATAAAAATGTCAATGGTTGATTGTACTGTCTGCCAAAAGTCCAAATTATTGCTGGGAATGGAAAAGAACAGGAAGAAACTGGCTTTGGTTATTGAGAGGTGTCTAATCTTTGCTCTGATTTCTTACCAAACTAGTTGTGTTTGTTTCATTTATTCTCGTTGATTTTCGAAATATGCACGTAGATTAAATAGGGACTGTTATTTTGAGTGATAATTTTTTTAAGAATTCTTTTAACATTATATCTAATTTAATTTTTATTTATTATAATTATTTATAAATTAATTTTTAATATTTTTAAAATAATTTGTTAATAAATAAAATTAATATTATCTTATAATATAAATTATTTATAATAAATCTAAAATATAATTTA